CCTGGGAGGCGGAGGTTGCAGGGAGCCAAGATCACGCCAGGGTTGCAGTGAGCCAAGATCAGCGTGAGCAATAGAGTGCAATTCTGTGTCAAAAAAATAAATAAATGAAATAAAATGATCTCTGTGGGAATAAGGGAGTAGAGTCTGACCCAGTTTATTTATCTGTCTGACTTGATAAACACCGTTGTAAGGTACTGACATCCCCAGATGAAGCCAGTAGCAGTCCCTTAATTATAACCATTCAATTAAGAACAGATGTGTCACTTCAGATGTGATGTCCTATCTGGTTTTGATTGAGGAGCCCATGCATACGGTACGCTGGAGGCCTCCACACTCAGCAGTGATGACACTGGGGAACTGCAGTCAGACCTGGAGGGTTGACCAGAAACTCCACCAGAGCAGCTTTACTGAGCCATAATTCACACGCCACACAGTTCACCTATTTAAACCGTACCGTTCAGTGGCTTTTAGTACTCACAGAGTTGTGCAAGCATCATCACAATCAATTCTAGAACATTTTCATCATCCCCAAAAGAAACCCAGTGCCCATCCCTGCCTTCTCCCCAGCCCCCGCCTCGGCAACCACCAACCTACTTTCTGTCTGTATAGATTCGGGAGAGCTCCTATCAGTGGGATCACATACTATGTGGTCGTTTGTGATGTTCATTTAGCGTAATGTTTTCAAAGTTCATGCTGTAGCATGTTTCAGTACTCCGTTTCTTTTTATCACTGAATAAATATTTCCTTGGATATACATTTTGCTTACAGGAATCTGAGTTGTTTCCGTTTTTTTACTTTTATAAATAATGCTGCTCTGCACATTCATTCGTCGTGTGAATGGATATACCTAGGAGTGGAGTTAATTGCTGGGTCATACAGCACCTCTGCGATCGGCTTTTTGAGGAACTGCCAGACTGTTTTCCAAAGTGGCGGCATCATTTTGCATTCCAGCCAGTAACGTAGGAGATTCCAGTTGCTCCACATCCTTACCACTACTTGTTATTATCTGGTTTCTTAAAATAACAGTCTCCTAATAAGCATCAAGTGCTGTCTCATTGTGGGTTTTGTTTTGTTTTTTGAGATGGGGTCTCACTCTGTTGCCCAGGCTGGAGTGCAGTGGTGCAATCATGGCTCACTGAAGCCTGGACCTCCTGGGCTCAAGTGATCCTCCCACCTCAACCCCTTGACTAGTTAGAGCTACAGGCACATGCCACCACGCCCAGCTAATTTTTAATTTTTTTGTAGAGATGACATCTCACTGTGTCACCCAGGCTGGTCTTGAACAACTGGGCTCAAGTAATCCTTCTGCCTCCACCTCCCAAAGTGCTAGGATTTCAGGCACAAGCCACCACACTGGGCCTTATTGCGGTTTTGAGTTTATATTTTCTTGCTAGCTGATGATGTTCAACATCTTTTCATGTGCTTATTGGCCATTTGTGTATTTTCTTTGGAAAAATGTTTATTCAGTTCATTTGCCCATTTTAAAATGTGATTATTTGTCTTTTTATTATAAAGTTGTAAGAGTGCTTTATGTATTCTGTATACAAGTCCCTTATAAGATACATGATTTGTAAATATTTCTCCCATTATCTGGATTCTCTTTTCACTTCCTTGATGGTGTCATTTGAAACACAAAATTTTTTAATATTCATGAAGCCCAATTTATTTTTCCTTTGTTACTGTGCTTTTGGTGTCATAGCTAAGAAGGCTTTGCTGCATGAAGGTTTACTTATATTTTCCTCTAAGAATTTTAGATTTTAGCTTTTACGTTTAAGTCTGTGATCCATTTTGAATTAATTTTTGCACATGGTATGAGGTAGGAGTCCAACTTTATTCTTTTCCATGTGGACATCCAGTTGTTCTGGCACCACTTGTTGAAAAGACTATTCTTTTTTTTTTTTTCAGACTTTTTTTTTTTTGAGACGGAGTGTCACTCTGTCACCCAGGCTGGAGTGTAGTGGTGTGATCTCGGCTCACTGCAACCTCTGCCTCCCAGGTTCAAGCAATCCTCCTGCCTCAGCCCCCTGAGTAGCTGGGACTATAGGCATGCACCACCACACCTGGCTAATTTTTGTATTTTTCATAGAGACGAGGTTTTGCCATCTCGGCCAGTCTGGTCTTGAACTCCTGACCTCAGGTGATCTGCCTGCCTCAGCCTCCCAAAGTGCTGGGACTCCAGGCATGAGTCACTACGCCCGGCCAAAAAGACTTCTTTCCCCCACTGAATCATCACAGATTTGATCTATACGTCTGTCCTTACACCAGCATCACACTGTCTTGATTACTGTAGCTTCATAGTAAGTTTTCCAGTTGGGAAATGTGAGTTCCGCAGCCTTCTTTTTCAAGATCATTTGAGCCATTCTGGGTTCCTTGAAATTCCGTACAGTTTTAGGATCAGCTCTGCAAAGTCTGCTGGGGTTTTGATGGGAACTGCGTTAAATCTGTGGACCAACTTGGGAAGTATTGCTATTTTAACAATAGTAAAGGGATTTTTTAAAGTATAAGCTGCGAGGACAAAAAAGACTGGAAGAGGAAATAAGTAGAACAAGGAATAGTAAATGAATGTCTTGGCCGAGCAATAGAGGCCACAGCCTGGCTGGGCGCGGTGGCTCACACCTGTAACCCCAGCACTTTGGGAGGCTGAGGTGGGTGGATCACTTGAGGTCAGGAGTTTGAGACCAGCCTGGCCAACATGGTGAAACCCCGTCTCTACTAAAAATACAAAAATTAGCCGGGTGTGGTGGTGGGCACCTGTAATCCCAGCTACTCAGGAGGCTGAGGCACAAAAATCACTTGAACCTGGGAGGCGGAGGTTGCAGTGAGCTGAGATGGCTCCATTGCACTCCAGCCTGGGCGATAGAGTAAGACTCAGTGTCAACAACAACAGCAGCAAAAAAAGCCACAGCCTGATGCTTGCGGGAGGGAACCAACAGGATATGAGGAATCCAGGAAGGCACTGGAGGTGGAGACACAGGTGCAAGGGAGGTAGGAGCGAGGTATAGACCTGAGATGGAGGACAGGCTGAAAAGTCTATTTACAGAGCAGTTCGACCCTCACGATTCCTTCACCACCTCCTCAAAGCCTGTTGACAGACCCTCCCCAAGGCAAGGGACCAGAGGTTTGTTATTTTCCAGAGCAGTGCTCTTGCAGTGTGGTCCAGGAACTGGTTTAGGTCCACAAACTGTTACTAGCGCCAGTAAGTACAGGAAGCAAGAATATGTGTTTAGGATTTTCACAGAAATCTGACATTGCCTCAGCACTCAGGTGTGTGATCAGTGGGTTCTCCTCACTGAAGCACACAGGCCAGTTTGGATGTCTGAACTCCCAGAGCGAGACACGTGCCGTGTGAAATGTGGACTACTCATGCACGGCAAGACCATGTACATGTCCCTGAGAGAACTGAAGTTTGAAAACTGCTCCTTCCCCATAGACAGTCTGCTCTAGAGGCTCAGCTGTGTGTAATGGGGAGAGGGCCGAGGCACCTGCTGAAAATCTGCATTCAGAACACTGGGTGGGATACTCAGCTGTCCTCCCACTTTCATTCCCGAAACCTGGCAGCTGGGCTTATACCCTCCCCCAACACCTATCCCCAGGCAGAAGGTCCAGACGATGACTATCAGCAAAGACTACCTTGGGGCTGGGAATAGTGGATGTGCCTGTAGTCCCAGCTATTTGGGAGGCTGAGGCTGGAGGATTGCTTGAGCCCAGGAGTTCAAAGCTGCAGTGAGCTATGACTGCACCACTGCACTCCAGCCAGAGAGACAGAGCAAGACAAAAATAAAAAATGAAAAAGATGACATAACCTAGAGAGACGACATTAAAACACTGACATCTGGAGTCCACTCAGCACAGGAGCTATAACACCCACTCTACCTTTCCGCAGTGAAGCTCCCCAGCGGACGAGCCCTCCCCAGGCACGTAAAGCTTAACATCACCTTGAAGATGAGGGGTTTTGGGTTTGTTTTTTGAATGGGTTTTATATTAATACGGTTCAGAACTCAAAAGATTCAACAGGTGAAATGAAAAGGTGCACTCTGTCCTTCACAACTTAGTTCCCCTTCCAGTAAGCTTTTTGGTGCCTCACTCTTTAATATACACAGAAAGCCTACACGAAAGATGGAGACCAAAATAAAGAAATAAGAGAGGAGCGAGAGAGAGAATGTAGGGAGCAGAAGAAAAGTGCAAAAAGGGAAAAGAATAATAATATCTCCGGAGAAAAAAGAGAAGCTATTCCATCAATGAAATAATAATTGGGTCCTATTTTAGTTTATTTATTATTTTTAAAAATTATTAATAGAGATGGGGGCTTGCTACGTTGCCCAGGCTTGTCTAGAACTCCTGGCCTCAAGCAATCTGCCTGTCTAAGCTTCCCAAAGTGCTGGGATTACAGGCATGAGCCACCTTGCCCAGCCAATGTTCTATTTCAAAAAAGAATATTCAGAGATCAAAGAAAAGATAACTCTCGGAAACTAAAAATATGAAATTAAAAATATAAAAATTGAAAATTCAACTTAGGCTAGAAAAACGTTTATAAAATCTCATAGCAAGTAAAACAAAAAGATAAAGAGATAAAAAATTAGATACAAAAGACAAAATTAAAGGATCACATCGAAGATCCAATGTCCTAACACTGAGAGTTCAAGATGGGTTGAACGAAGAAAAGAGAAAGGATAAAATTATTAAATAAACAATTCAGATTTTTTTTCTAGAGCAGAAAGCATCAATTTAGGGGTCTAAAGGACTCACCAAGTTTCCTGTATAATGAATGAGGAACAACTCACCCCAAGCCACATCATTGTCAACTTTTGGAACTGGAGGTCAGAGAGAATCTAACAACTTCCAGACATGAGCTCCAGAGGACAGAGGAGTGAAATGGCCCTGGCTGTCACAGCAGCCACACTAGAAGCTGCAATTCTATACTCAACCCACTAGCAACTGAGGGAAGACGGTTTAGGTAAGTTAGTTCACAACAGTTTTCCTTCCTTTCCTCACTTTCTTAGGGAGTCACTGGAAGATGTGCGCCCCCAAAATCAAGGAAGAAGACACGGAACCCACAGGACTGTGGGCCAAGTTGCTTTGGCACTAAGCAGAACAGAGGGGAAAGGAAGAAAGAGTGGAGCAAAGGAAGGGAGGGAGAGGGGACGACACTTTGAATTGAGTGCATGGAGAAAGCAGTTGGGAAACCAAGAGGCTCCTCCTGGCATTTGAATCCCTGGCCCCAACTCTTCCTGAGGCCCAGCTGCAATCCTGTCCTTTGGCTTTGTGAGACACCAGATACCCTTGTAATAAATTCTGCTTCTTGCTTAACGAGTTCGCATTGCATTTCAGTCACTTGCAACCAAAAATTTTCTCCTGATATGTTGCTACTCAGGGTATTAAAACCTGGGTGCTTGTTGGAAATGCAGAACCTCAGGCCTCCCCCAGATCTACTCAACCAGCATCTGCATTTTAGCAGGATTCCCAGGTGACGTACAGGCACATCCAAGTCTGAGACGCACTGTCCTGATAGATCCACCCTGCAAGGTTGGGTAATGAGCACATTAGGGATACTAGGTAAAATGTTTGACTGCGTAGTAGGCATTCTGTAAGGGATGACGAGGAGGAGGATGACTGGAGTAGAAATACTTTGGAATTACGATCTCAAAAAGAGTTCCTGGGACCATGGCAAATGGTGGCTTTGCACCAGATTACAAAAACAAGCACACAACCGAAAAGACAGAAAGCGCGATATCCCAAGAAACAGGTTCAGCTCTGCTCCGGGAGCCTGTCGGGTGACTCAGCCGAGGTGTTGACATAGGAAAGCCATTAAGAAAGCCCTTCTCAGGTGTGGCCACTGGGCTGTGAGTGAGTGATTGACAGTCAGCTCCGGTATGATGCTTGGCTGGGGGAGTGCTGAGCTAATGCCGCCTTTCTCAGCAGAGCAGGCACTCTGCCCCAGCACTCAGGAAGTAGGTCAGGAGGAGATATCCTGCGTGAGCAGCTCCAAATTGCTTTTTCAGGCAAAAACCTGTGGCCCATAGGACTGGGGGTAGAAGGGGAATGGGGATGAGAGGAGGCTGGGGGCCTGCTGCGGGGTGGAGATAGGAAATCACATCCTCATTCTTGGCAGGAGCCCCTGTCACATAGTTTTCCTGGCTCCAGTCCTAGGGCAGTCAGCCACCGTCTTTGTGCCGGGGGTTCCGTTGACTTTCCAATGCAAGCAAATTTGAATGGAAACTGGGGCTTAACAGGAAATGTGCTTGTAGGAGCGGGTGTCCCTTCTGGGCCCTCGGTGTGCTGTGGATGGATGGAGGATGAGTATCCAAGGTCTGGATCTTCCCTAGGAGCTAGCAGTCATTGTTTGCCAATTGTCCACCAATTGCATGGCGCTGTACTCAACCCTTAAGAGTCTTTACCAAGCACACCCGCCCTCCAAGAATTTATATGCTAGAGTCCCCGGTCCTTTAGACTGTCTTTAGGAATCTTATCCTATTCAGCAACAACAAACTCTACCATCATCCAACAGCTGTCCTTGTGAAGGCTGACCACAGTCGTCAACTCTGCAGCCACCACTACCGCAATAAAAGCCAAACGTTCCCCTTGAATAATAGCAAACACTTAATAATGTGCTTACGACCTGTCTGGCACTTTTCTAAGTACATATTTTAATTCATCTGATTCTCACAGCGACTTCATGAGGTCAAATACAATTGCAGTCCTCACTTTACAGATGAGAAAACTGAGACATAAATGAAGCATTACATGAGATGACACAACTAGCAAATGGCAGAACTGGGAGCGAAACCCAGGTGATCTGGCTCCAGAGCTCCTGCCTTTTAGCTACAGTACCCAAGCCGTGGCACGGTGGCAGCTTGGTGGACAGGGTGTCAGCAACAGTCCTCTTGCTAGCTAATCCCATCGCCGCCCTCACTAGCTAGCTGACTTCAGCTAACTATGAATAACTCAGCAATGCGGTGAGGTGCAAGAGCTGAGGCGTCAGAGGAAAAGATCTGGGTTCTACGTCCTGATGCTGCCACCGGGAAAAGAAGGACACTGATGCTGACTGAATGCAGAGTACGTATCAGGTCCAGGTTTAATCTTCCCGGCTAGCCTGTGTGACCTTAGGCAAGTCACTGTCCCTCCCTGGGTCTCTGTTTTCTAACATGGAAAGCAGACCAGGTGCTTTCTGGGTTATTGTTTAATTCAATCTGGGCAACACTCGCTCAGGGAAGAACGACCGCAGGTGCACAGTGCTCCACCGGGTGCCCAAGCAGCCACAGAGATGAGCAAAACGCAGAGCTGGCCTCTGCAAGGCCCACGGCCCAATTCTCTTTTCCATTTTGTACATCCTTGTGAGCTGAGCAAGGCATTATCATCCCTTTTTTTTAAACAATAGAGGAAAATGCCAGGCGCGGTGGCTCACGCCTGTAATCCCAGCACTTTGGGAGGCCGAGGCGGGCGGATCACAAGGTCAGGAGATAGAGACCATCCTGGCTAACACGGTGAAACCCTATCTCTACTAAAAATACAAAAAATTAGCCGGGCGCAGTGGTGGGCACCTGTAGTCCCAGCTACTCAGGGAGGCTGAGGCAGGAGAATGGCGTAAACCCGGGAGGCAAAGCTTGCAGTGAGCCAAGATCGTGCCACTGCACTCCAGCCTGGGCGACAAAGCGAGACTCTATCTCAAAAAAAAAAAAAAAAAAAATAGGAGAAAACAACAACAATAGGGGAGGCTACTCAGGAGGCTCAGGCAGGAGGATTGTTTGAGCCTAGGAAGTCTAGGCTGCAGTGAGTCATGATGGCACCACTGCACTCCAGCCTGGGCGACAGAGTGGCAAGACTCTGTCTTAAAAAAAAAAAAAATGAAGGGGAGAGATAACGTTTGACCATGGAAGGTCACACATTTTAGTTGTAGCCAGAGTGTGATCCCAAGTTGACTCCGAGTCGGGGCCTCTTTGTGCTCCCAGCTGTCCTACTAGCCTACTTCATCTTGGCAACACTGGGGCCAAAAGCTGCAAAGAACATTTTGAGCTCTAACTTTGCAGAGTCGTTTCCAACCTTCTGCCTTCCACATCCTGACAAGTGCACATGCACACACATTGCCGGACACCCAGCAGACACAGAATCAATGCTTTTGCATGAGTGAGAATCAGCCCCTCTGGCAGCCCTCCTCACCTGCCCAGTCCCCAGTGCCCAGCACCCAGTGTTGATCTGGTGAAGGTACCGAGGGCAGAGGCACACTTACCATATACATCATGACTCAGATCCCATTTGCTGACTTGGAACTGAAGCCTCTTGCCCCACCAAGCAATTACTGGAGAACAGGAAGTCTCAACGGAAAATGAGGTCAGCCTGGTGGCTGAGAGGAAGAGGGTCAGCGAGCACAGCCTGCTGCCCCCGTGGGTCCCCACAGCAGCCAGCCCAGGGCCCTGCATGCAGCAGATGCCCACCACAGCTTCACTAGTGGGTTAGCTGCTCTGAGTAACTCTGTTCAGCCCAGCCACAGGAGGGGGTTACCAGGCAGGGACTTAATATGCGGCTCTAGAATCTGAAGGAGACAACTTCAACTCACCCTTGTTTAGCAGAACTGGGCTATGACAAGGACAATCACAGCACTGGAAATCTATTCTATTCTTTTTTTTTTTTTTTTTGAGACAGAGTTTCGTTCTTGTTGCCCAGGCTGGAGTGCAATCGCGCGATCTCGGCTCACTGCAACCTCTGTCCCCCGGGTTCAAGTGATTCTCCTGCCTCAGCCTCCCGAGTAGCTGGGATTACTGGCACCCGCCACCACACCCGGCTAATTTTTTGTCTTTTTAGTAGAGACAGGGTTTCACCATGTTGGCCAGGCTGGTCTCAAACTCCTGAACTCAGGTGATCCACCTGCCTTGACCTCCCAAAATGCTGGGATTACGGGCGTGAGCCACTGCACTCGGCCTGGAAATCTATTCTTTAAATAACTGTGTTACCAAATTCACTTCTGCAATCTGTCCCAAGAACTTCCTTCTCTGTGCCCTAAGTTACGATAGAGGAAGAGGCACATCATCCCCAGGTCTTCCTTTCTTTCTTTTTTTTGTTTTTTGAGGAGGAGTCTTGCTCTGTCACCCAGGCTGGGGTGCAGTGGCATGATCTCAGCTCATTGCAACCTCCGCCTCCTGGGTTCAAACGATTCTCCTGCTTCAGCCTTCTGCATAGCTCAGATTACAAGTGTGCGCCACCACACCCAGCTAATTTTTGTATTTTTAGTAGAGACGGGCTTTCACCATGTTGGCCAGGCTGGTCTCGAACTCCTGACCTCAGTGATCTGCCTGTCTCAGCCTCTCAAAGTGCTGGGATTACAGGCATGAGCCATTGCGCCCGGCTCCCAGGCCCTTCCTGAAGTGGCATAAAAATAAAAACGGATTTTAGAAATCATTTAGTCTAAACTCCTCCTGGTCACACCTTTGGAAGCATTTCCGTGTAGACATTCTTCCCATGCCCACCATACCTCTCTCTTGGCAATAAATAACCTGCTCCCAAGGCTAGAAGTCAGAAGAGACAAAAACTTTCGGAGTTTCCAGGAGGCGAGGCCATTATTACTTGTTGTAGGAGGTTGCCCCCCAATATCTATTTGACCATCTTGCGGGATAGTAGAATTTTTGACTGGACGCTTGACCACTTAGCTAAAGTCAGCACTTCCAATCTCTCTTGCAGCAAGGCTGTATGACCAAGGTCTGGCTAATGAGAACTTAGCAAGAAGAACTGTGCCCCTAAACGGAAGGCACATGTCTCCTCTATCCCCTCCCTCCCTCTTTCCCAGGCTGGAATGTGGAGATTGTGGTGAGCATCTTCAATCATGCGTAAAAGGTACATATCCCAGGAGCAGAGCAACAAGCTGGAAGGAGCCTGGGTCCCAAACACTGTGGAGCTGCTGTATTATCTCTGGACTGTCTGCACGCAGACGATTACACACAGGGGAGAGATAAACTTCCATTTGGTCTAAGCTGTTAGTATTTAGAGTCTGGTGTCAGTCAAACCTGCATCCTAACACAACACTCTGTGGGGTGTCAAGTCAGTTGCAACCTCCCGTTCTCCGAGATACCCCCGATTCCACGCACCTAGGAGGTGGCCTAGTGACATTATATCCAGTCCAGGGATATCTGGCTCAGGCTGCGTAGAGTAGGGGCAGGAGCCCTGTCCAAGCAGAGACAATCAGATTTTCCCTTCCATTAATCTGGAACCGAGATTCACTGTTGCTATTCAACCCCTACGGAGTACATGAATCAAGATGCACCAGGAGAAGCAGAAATGAGAGGCCAGGCAGCCCTAGAGAAGCAGAGGGAAGGAACTGT